CACTGAATTTTGAGGGTACTAAAATGATAGGTGAAAGGATGTATCTTGGCACTCGGAGTTGGTGGGGCTCCTAAGAATCAGAGACTTTCAGGGCTGGAAGCAAATCCAGTCAACTCCCTAGCCAATGCTACTCACCACATCAGCCCGTTCGTTCTTGGATGCCGCCAGTGATGGGGAATTCACTACTTGTACCCCTGCTGAATGCCCTTCAGTGGACCCTCTGTTGCCCTTGACACAAAGTCCCACTCCTTCCTGAGGCCGCTGTGGCCTTCCATGATTGAGCTCCTGCCACCCTCCGACCTCTTGTCCCTCTTTGTCCCCTCCCTTTCTCTTGCCAGCCCCGCTGGCTTTCTCTCTGGCCTCTGAACACATCACTGTTTCCTTTCACATCCAGGCCTTGGCACGTGCCAGTCCCTCTCCCTGGATGTGCCTCCTCCTCCAGTTAACTGTCCCCTTTTTTCCAAGTTTCAGCTTATATGTCGCCTTTTTAGGGAGCCCTTTCTTAACCTCCCAACCCACGCTAGTTAGTGCCCCTGGGCCTCCTCCGTATCACACTTGTTACTCTTGTCCTTAATTGCTCATTTAAGATCTAATTGTCCTACTTGACCTTGACTTCCATGAGGGCAGGGAGCTGCCTTATTCACTCCTCTGTCTTCAACGCCTTACACCAGCGAGTGGCACATACACAGCAAGGCACCCAATACACGTTCAGTGTGTTGACACTCAGTTGAGCTCCGCTCTCTGCTCGACAACACTCCCTTTTCCCAGCCTCCCTTGGCCCCCGTCACGGGGGCTGTCATCATTCTCGTTCCACAGATAAGGAACCTGATGATGACAGCACCCACCGCTGGAGCCGGGGGAGGATGAGGCCGTGTACAAGATGTAGCCTGGCTCACCACAGAGGAACAGTTATTAATGTGGTCACTGTTGTTGTGTCATGACAACTGTCATGGTGCTCACACAAAACACCAGAGTGGGGAGGAAATACAGCACCCGCCAAAGGAGACACACATCACGTGACTTGCCCAAACTCAAGCTGAACTGGTGGCTGGCTGAGAGCAGGGGACTGCCTCTTTCTTCTCCAGGTCTGGAGAGTTTCATGCACGGTCTGGGTCTTTGCAGTAAGAGCACGGAGGGTTCCCTGAGCTCTTGATGTCACATACTGACCACACAGCATCTCATTTAACCCTTCTAGCACCCCTTGAGGCCAGAGCTATCACCGTTCCCAGCTCACTCATGGGGACATAGGCTGAACGGGTCCAGGTGACAGACCGGGAAGGTGACAAAGCTACGGTGGAACTCAGGTCTGTCCAGTTCCTAAGATGCTGCTCTCCAGCTCTCAACAGCACAGAAAACATGCGTTAGAGCCAGCCAAGCCCAGCCGACCTCGGGGCACACAAGGGGCGGTCCAGGCTGTCTCAGCGCCACTGGACCACTGGATGCCCCTCCAGCTGGGAAGCCTGGCATTCCCAGGAACACACTCTTGCCTCTCCCTTCTGCTGTGCACTTCACTTCCCAGGTCTCAGACAGTTCCTGCATCGAGGTCTTCTGGAAACTCGCTGACTATCCAACGGAGACCGGAAGCTGGCTTTGCACAAAGCCTCCCGAGAGCTGGTTTCAGGAATGACCACACCAGCCTCCTGGCCACAGCTCCTGACCTCCCCCTGCGCCGACCTCAGAATTGTGTTCCTGTCTTAGAGTCCCCCTAGCTAAGCTCAGTTGCCCTCAAGTTCAAATGGATTTCAGCGGCCTCCCTTCCTTTGCATTAGGCTATCGGTCTTCGTTTTCCAGGCCGATTTTGGTGGCGAAGCACCGTATCTTGGAAGTTTTATCAGGGGCTCATTCTGGCTTAAAAGCTTTCGTTAACACAGTTAACTTCCCAGACATCGCGCAAGTATTTCTTCATGAGTAGCTTCTAACGGGTTCACCATCCAGATGGTTTTGAAATCAAGAAAGCTGCTGTATTTGCCTTGAGCTGGTTATTTCAAATTTGGAGATTACAGCCTGGGTCAGAAGATAAGTGAAACAGCTGGCCGCGATGAGCCGTCTGTCTACGAGGCGTGCCCCGAAGCAGCAGAGGTTTCTGTTGGTAATTTCCTTTGTTTTAAATAACGAATGCAATTACCAATCTCTATTCACATTTGATTTTCGGACGAGTGTACTTCATTTTCTTCCCAGTTTTTCTTCTCAGTTTTGCAGCGGAGCCCCACATCGATGACTCCTTTATTAGGGAGTAGCCTGTGATTTTGTTCTGGTTAATCTAAATGATAACTTGCCATCGCAAAGTATATGGTTAGAGATAAAAGCAGGGCTGAAATTAGACCCCCAAAAATGAGGGGGAAAAAAGAAGCTGTGGTTTCTTATTTTCCCCCTCAAGCATAAATTGTTGAGTAAGGAGATTTTTAAAAGCCAGAAATTGCTGTGGAGCAAACCAGGGCTGGGAGCTGGTGAAACGGCCCAGGACACATCTGGCATCACAGGGTCCTGAGGACGGCCTGCTGCTGTGGTGACTGACCGCGCTCACCCACAGCCCAGTGCCTGTCATCCAGCAAGAGGGCATTCTCACAGACAAGAGGGAGGGCGCCCGAATGGGAAAGATCAACATCCAAATTAGAAACTACCTAAGCTGCATTGTTGTTCTTGGGGCCCCGCTGTGCCTTTGCTTTCCTGATTGCTCAGAGCAAGAATAACAAAATCCATCCAGCCCCGTGATTTTGGCAGATTCATCAAAAAGCTACCACTGGAGTTTGAGGTATCCACACCAGCGGTTCTCAACCAGGGGCCATTTTACCCCCAGGGAACATTTGGCAGTGTCCAGAGACCGTTTTTGTCGTCGAGGTGTAGTACAATAGATAGAGGCTGGGGATGCTGTAAACATCCTACAGTGCACGGGACGCCACAGCAGAGAAAGATCTGGAAAACAAAGTCAGGAGTTCTGAGGTTGAGAAGCCCTGGTGTGTGTGGGGGTGTGTGTGTGTACTCAGCGTGAATTCATGTGGCGGAGCAATTGGTGCACCCTTCTCCACAAAGTTTCTGGAACCTGGAGACATGAAGTTCAGGCATGCCTCAGCTCAGGTACCTAAATTATGTAAGTTTCTGAGGATTAACTAGGATCTGTTTCCTTTCACTCAAAGCAAAAGGATATTGTTGCCTGGTGGTACAGCCAGTGGTGAAAAGGACTTTTGAAAAACAGTGTCCAGTGGAAAATGGTCCCCGGCCTAGGACAGGGAATGACAGAGGAGGTGGGAACAGGGTCACCATCCTTTCTAGTGTCTGTGTCTGACTTGGGGGCCAGCTGATGGCCTCCTCCATGTGCCTCGGGTCCAGCCCGCACTCCTGGCTTTTCTCCTGTGAAATCGGTCTGACTTGCCGTGGTGAAAGGTCGAAAACGGGCGAAGCAGCAGGAGTCCCCCACAGCAAGCTGTGATGCAAACTTCCAATGATTTTATTGGCATGACGAGAAGCCCAGGGTCTGCCAAGGACAATAGCCCCGCGCTGTGACCAAGACGGCGGGCTTTTGGGGGTAATCTGTCCTACTGCCCTGGACTGCTCTATTCCCACAGGATGGAACAGCTTGGGGAGGAGGCAGAGGAAAGCATCAAGATAGACGCGCCATTCCCCCCCCCCTTCCCATCTCAGGCCCCAAAGGGCGAATGTAGATGGTCCTCTCAGCCTTGGCACCCCCTCTCTCCTGCTTTCCTTGCCCTCCCTACCCAGCCAACAGGGCTGTCTTGGCCCATTTTTGCACTGATGGAGGACTCCTCTGTCATGGAGAGCCACGTGACGCTTTGCCTCCATCCCTGTGATGAATGTACCCTTTGATGATCTACCTGCAACTCTTCACACTGCTAACCCCTCCCATCTCTTCTCCAAATACCGTGTTTACAAATTTGGGGTTCGGAAGAAGACTGTGATTGAGGAGCTGCTGGAGGCAGCCCTGACTCTGCTCTTTGCTTGTAAACGGGGTCGGGAGTGCCCGGTGACCTGTTGGCCCGGGCACCTGGCTGCCACTGGCCGCGTGCTTCTTTGGTGCCAGGCAGCATGCTAAGTGCTCCCTCTGAACACCTCCTGGTGCTCCTCACAATAATCCTAGACAGAGGTGAGGGTTTAGTGAGCCCATTTGACGAGAAAGTGGAGGCTAAGAGCTGATGGATATGCCTGCCTGAGGCCACACAGGTTGACAGGAAGCTAACCTGGGCTTCTGAGCTGGGTGGTCTGACTCTAAGGCAAGAATTCCTAACCCTTCACAGTGTGAGGGCACACCTCCACGATGGTGGGTGTTATTGTCATGTATGCCAATGGTGGCACACCATGGTCAATTGGCATTTGTAGAGTTTCACTCATTCCCACCCCCTAAGAAGAGACAGTGGGACAGCAGTTAGTCCCGGAGAAGGCACTGTCTCCTCTACCAGAGGTTCCTGGGGTCCCTTGGCGAGCTCCCAACCCCCCTAATCTTCATCCCCCACCCTCCCGTCAGGCTTGCTGGGCAGCAGCCTAGTCTCAGCATCACTGCACCCTCCCCTAAATTCTCCCTCAGCTCTGCAGCAGGACACAAATCCTGAGCACCCACAGGTGCAGGATTCAGTGGGGAAGGCCAGACCCTGCAGCCCTGGTCTGAGTGACCTGGGGCTTGTACCCTGCCATGGGGGTCTCAGTGGGCCTGAGATCCTCCTGATCTTCTTGGAGATCCCTGTCCCCCTGGAGCCTGGCTCCAGGGGCTACTCACAGTGCCTGGAGGTCAGGCCCCAGGTGCACGCAGAACGGAGGGGTGCGCACTTGGCATGGTGACGCGGCTCCCTCACGCAGGGCCCAGGAGGAGCCTGGAGGCGCGGCAGGTGCCGGCCAGGTGAGGCTGGAGAAGGGCGCTCAGGACGCAGCATCACTGACCCGGCCACAGGCCCATGCAGCAGTTCCCAAAGGACCCTTGGGGAACGTCAGATGGCGAGCTCCCTCCCTTCCGACCTCAGGCATCGAGCCGGTGGGGGAACGGTGGCACCTACCTCCTAAAAGTACCAGGACGCAAGCGTAGGGGAGCATGGCTGCGGGCATCCCGTCGGGGCTGGCAGGACGGCCCTCCCGGCGCCTCTACGGTGCGTGGAGGGGAGGAGCGGGCGCCGGGCTCTCGGGCAGCAGCGGACGCTGGCGGCCCGGCTGGGGTCCTGCGAAGAAGTTGCAAGGGTCCTGCGCCCCCCTTGGCGCTCACACGCGCTCACCCTCCCGGCTGTTGATAGTTGTAAGTTGAGCTGCGCACTCATAGGTCCAACTTGCCAGAAGAGGTGGAGACAGCCCCGGCGTTGCGCGCACACTAGCGCAGCGCGCCCAGCCCTCCGGCGCAGCTCCTGCTCCCATTCAGACCCTCCAGCCGACCCCCCTCCGTCCCCTGCCCCTCACCTCCCCAAAGTCTTCGCAGTGAGCAAGGAGGCCTCCCTCAATTCTTGTCCTGGTCAAGCCAGAGCGGTGCGCTCCTGTCGCCAAAATGCACCCCTAACTGGGCTGGTACCTGGACCGACAAGGGGGGCGGTTGGGAGTCGGGCAACCCTTCTATGCCTCGCTGGGTCCCCGGACCCCTGAAGTTTCTATTCAGGCCTTCCAGACACTCTTGGAAAAGTCGAGAAACTTCGAGCCTGGGGAGCACAGTGAAAGTGGCCAACCTGGGACTCCCAGCAGCCAGCAGCTGCTCTCCGTAATTAGCTCCTCTGGGCTCCAAAGAGCATCTAGGCAAATAGTGTGGAGCCTACCAGGGCGGGTCCCCCCACCTGCCCGCCCCAACTCTTCCTCCTGCACCATCCCCCAGCTTCCATCTGAGTCAGTTTAGGGTGGCAGTGGAGAGGCAAGGGCGCTGGGGGGGGGGAGGCGGGGCACACACTGGATGCCCCAAAACTATCACCTCGCCCCGCCCCAGGCAGCCCCCCACCCCCCAGTGGCAGGCACAGCCTGCAGGAAGGTGGTGCACATCCGGAAGGAGGACCTTCACAAGTTGCTGGGTTTATGAATGAAGGAGGGAAACAGAACCACTTGGATTGTTCCTGCCTGCATGGACCATCTGGATACCTGAAGTAAAGCTGTGGGGGTGGGGATGGGGGCTGGCGATGTGTAGATGTCCGTGTCTATTTTCATTGTGTTGCCATTAACAGAGAGAGAGAGAGAAGATAGAACACAGAGAGAGAAGAGATAGAAAGAAAAAGAAAAAAGGAAAGAGAAAGTAAAAAGCGGGGAGGGGGAGAGAAAGAGAGGAAAGGAAAAAGAAAAGGGGAGAGGAGAGAGAGACACGGAGATTGTCCCCTTGGGGAGGGCTTGGGGACTTGGGGACAGGTCTGTGCTTAAGGTGCATACCCAAGCCATCCTTGTGTTTACACACCCATCTGTCCATGGCTGTGGACTGCTCTCTTCTGGGGCTCAGGAGACAGAACCCCACCTTTCATTCCTAACCAGAAGCTTGGGTGAGGCTCAGGGGCCCCAAGAGAACTGCAGCTAACTTCAGCCCCCAGCCCGGGTCTGCTGGGGCTGCTGTCCTTACTGCCCCTGTTCTCCACAGGAGACAGACGAGCAGAGATGGCAGGACGAGGCCACAGCATGATCTTACACAGATGGAAATGTGAGAGAAGCGATCAATTCCCTTCCTGAAAATGACATTTTTTTCTGGTCTCTGTGGATTGCTGAGAACAGCATGAGATGCGAGGTGGCCTTGCTGAAGCTGAGATGGGCACCGGCTCCCCGGGCAGACAGTGGCCCCACGCCTCGTATTATATTCTTGGGAAAGGGGTAACTTTGACAGGCAGGAGGAGAGATGCGTGGGCGATTGTTTATAATTGCATAACTGTGATTCTTCGTGGCAATTATGTGTCTTTCTATTTGCCAAATTCACAATTACGGATAGTTTTAAACACTGTGTGCTGTTTTGTCCATGATGGCTGGAGGCTGCACTGTCCGGGCTTCTGTTCTGAATGTGGGCGTTTGGAAGTCCCAGGCCACTCGCAGGGGTCTGAGTATTAATGGTTTGGTGTGTGTGGTGGGTGCTGCCTTGATGTCCTAGGTAGGGTCATAATTCGGTGCTTTCAGAACTTGCACTGCTCTCGGAAGTGGGAACGTCCCCACAAAGTATGGTCCTCATGGATGGATTGCTATATTCACTGGTCATGAAGAGGAATGGCTGATAATTACTGAGGACGTGTTGTGGGCCAGATAGTTTACATGCATATACTTTATATGCAAACAACCGGATGAGAAGTAGCCCCATTTTACAGAACTGGGAAACAGCTCAGAGAGGTTGGGCCACTGGCCCAAGGCCACACAGCGGGAAGGTGGTAGAACTCCCAGGGCCTTGCTTCCGACCACTAGGTTCTGTGTCTCCATGGGGTGCCTGGTCTCACCGTGCTGTCCACTCCGTTCTGAATCTGAAGATCTGAGTGAGAAAGTCCGTCTATAATAGCAGCCTTTCTTTGGAGAGGCTTAGGAGTGACAGGGCAGTGCTCTTCCAAAGTGCTTCCTAATCCTTAGCTAAACAAAGCCTGAGGTTGAGACGGAGAGGGCAGTGGTAGGACCTGCCCCACGGGTCCCCACACTAACCGTGTGCGGGGCTGGGAGAGTAGGGGTAGCCGGCAAGGGTATTTGGGCTGCCTGGTGCAGTCCCTCCTTCTATGGTGAGAGAATGGAAACACAGGGCAGATAAGCTACCTTTCTGAGGCAATGCACGTTTTACTATAAAGAATGAAAAAAGCAAAGAAAATGAACGAGTCATGTGTGAACAAGACTCTCCTCTCATCCCAAGGAGATCAAACAAAAGAGGACGAAGGAACCGAAGCTAAAACTTATTTATTGGCTTCAAATGTGTATTTATTTTTCAAAAAAAAAAGTTATGCTGTCCAGACCTGGCGTTTTGCTAGAGACAGGGCGGTATGCGCTCAGCTCCTGACCCTTTCTTACGTTCGGGACATTTGAAATGGTGGCAATTAGAAGGCTGCTTGGGGGAGAAGCATTCCTTCTCCAGTCCTGGCTCTGCCGGCCCGGACTCGCGTTCATGGGCGTTATTGCATCTCGGCCTCCAGAGCTGGGCTTTTCTGGGTTGTTAACCACAGGGGCCCTCCCCGGGTGGTCAGAGCCGCAGGGGAGGGGGACACAGGGTGGGCTTTCCTAGGACCATGCATAGCCAGTGTGAGGGAGGTGGCCAGGAGCCCGATGTCCGTGATGGGTGAGGGGAGGCCAGCCTTCCACGCCCTGAGTTTATCTCCCACCTCACCTCTGCCCCACAACCAAAGTCTGGGGGTGGGCGATGCAGGGAAGGGCCTCTTCCTCCCCTCCCCACCAAACACCCGCCTCCTGGGAGGATAAGACCGCCCCACCAACTCTTGCTATAAAATGGTCTGTTTCCTCTGCTGGTTATCAGGGGTGTCTGATCAAAGAAATGGTGCCCAGGCCTGGTTATCTAATAACCAAATAAACATCCAGGCTGGCTTCCCGGGTTAGGAATGGCGGGTGGGGCCCCTCTGGATGAAGTCAGGGACAGGCCAGAGTGGGATGGGCCATTGGGACCATCCCTGCCTGCAGAGCGTCACGCTGGCCAGGCCTGGAGCTGACCGCATCCTCTCTATCACCCCGTGTTACAGATGGAGAAACTGAGGCAGGAGAACCGTGTTCCTGCCTTCCTGACACTCACCTGTCCCCGCTGGTAATTGCCCCAGCGTCAGTCTTGTCCCCCATTGTACCACTGTGCCCCTGTGCCTAGCACATTCCTTGTGTGTCCTGGGACTCACTGCATATTTGCTGAATGAACAAGTGAATGAGCAAACAAACTATACAGAATGAGCACTGGCTCCACATCAGAAGACTTGACCTCGAGCCTTAATGCTACCACTCAGCAACTCACCAGGGCCGGGGCTAGTGCGAGGCCCCCGGGGCTGCTCACGCTCAGGTTCATACAGGGTGGTGGGGAGAGGGTGCCTGAAAGTGAGCACCCCTCCCCTTTTGGTCCCTGGGTGCCCCACTTGCCCGCCCTAGTCCTGGCCTGCAGCTCACTCTGGCTCTTGTTTCTTTCTCTGTAAAATGGGGATGATGCCTGTGGTACTTTGTAGGGTTACGAAGACAGAAGTGGGCATTGGGTGCAGGATCCAGTCTTCTTAGGCCCTGAGGCTCTCTGGAGAGAAGTCACAGGTCACACAGCTGATGTGTGATGGAGTCTGGATGAGAACCTGGGGCTTGAACGTCTGGCTCCTCAGCCTGACTCGAAACTGCCTGCATGCTGATGGTTTCTCATCTACCTGTCCCTGGGGGAGGCAGGTTGTGAAAATGCCCTGAGCTGCCCAGAAAACTGCCCCCAGCAGTCCTCACAAGTGTCTCAGTCTTCTTGCTCCAACAGGCTGTTATGGGGAATGGGGTGAGATGCAGGGCATTGGAGGGCTTAACCCAGCACTTGGCACATAGGTGTTTGAGGAACATGTTTTGGATGGATGATGGATGGATGAGTGGGTAGGTGGGTGGGTGG